TTGAGAGCAGCCCTGCTGAGAAGGACTTGGGGGTGTGGGTGGAGGAAAAGCTGGGCATGAGCCGGCAGTGTGCACTCGCAGCCCAGAAAGCAAATCGCACCCTGAGCTGCATCAAAAGAAGCGTGGCCAGCAGGTTGAGGGAGGGGATTCTCCCCCTGTACTCCTGATGAGACCCCACCTGCAGTGCTGTATCCAGCTCTGGAGCCCTCAATACAAGAAGGACATGGACCTGTTGGAGCAGGTCCAGAGGAGGCCACAAAAATGATCAGGGGGCTGGAAACCTCCACTATGAGGCGAGGCTCAGAGAGTTGGGGTTGTTCAGCCTGGAGAGGAGAAGGCTCCGGGGAGACCTTACAGCGGCCTCCCAGTAGCTAAAGGGGGGCTGCAGGAAAGATCTTTTAGCAGGGTCTGTTGCAATAGGACAAGGGGTAATGGTTTTAAACTAAAAGAGGGGAGATTCAGACTAGACATGAGAAAGAAATTTTTTACAATGAGGATGGTGAAGCACTGGCTTGGGCTGCCCAGAGAGGTAGTGGAAGCCCCATCCCTGGAGACATTCAAGGTCAGGTTGGACGGGGCTCTGAGCAACCTGATCTGTCTAAAGCTGTCCCTGCTCACTGCAGGGGGACTGGACTAGATAGCCTTTGAAGGTCCATTCCAGCCCAAACTATTCTATTAGTTCTCCCTTCTGAACCTTGCTCCAAGAAGATGGACTTTATTAAGAGTGCTGTTTGGACAAGAACTGCAGAGAATGTGAAGGTCGGAGACCTTACTGCATGTTCAAGAACTAATAGAAGCAATTTGAGAGGTACAGGCTCCTTTCAAGACTCCTGCAGATGAGCTGAGTGGACAGTTTCCAAACGGCAGCCAAACAGGAGTGGGTAATGGTACACAAAGAGCCATCACAGCACCAAGCTAAGGGCTGTGGGAGGAGATAAGTACGCTGTCAGGCAGTAGTTTTAGACCTTGATATTTTCTTTTCAGAGCAAATCCTAGCCCACCCTTTGAAAAGAAAATGATCAATGTGTTCTCTTCCATGCTATGATAGTCCCTACCATTTACAAAAATAAAGGGAACTTCTTGCCTAACAATGTTATTGGTATAAACTGACCCCTCAAGAGAAATAGGATGATGGATCTGAAGCACTCTCTGTTTACAAAATAGTCGTAGACTTTTTTTCTGTTGTCTCTTCTTGCCATGAAATACATGCTGCCCACATGCCCTCTGAGAATGACTTAGCTGCTTTCAGACTTGGGACCCTCTTACAGAACATAGCAGGGTGGAGAAGGCAGATGACATGGACATGCTGGAAGGAAGAGAACTATGGATGTGTCTGGGAGGAGGCTAGCAGAAAAAGAAAGGTGAGGGGATGAAACAGTAGTGAGAAACCTTTGGCCAGGGCAGGGAGCAGAAGGAGATGGAGCTATGTCTGCTGGTGTCATTCTACTGCCTACTACTATGCATGATGGAGCCCTGCTGTCCTGGAGATGGCTGCCCACCTGCCTACCGATGGGCAGCGGTGACTGGATTCCTTGGTTTGCTTTCCTTCTGTGCACGACTTGTGCTTTGCCCATCACACTGTCTTTATCTCAGCCCATGAGTTTTCTCACTTTTACCCTTCCAACCCCACCGGGGGGAGTGAGCAAGCATCTGCGTGGGGCTGAGTTGCCAGCTGGGGTTAAACCACAACATTAGTGAGTCCCTTTGCTCTATACGCCAGGAAGCAGAGCACCCCAGACAAAATTTTCCGTGCTGTCTGGCATCCTCACACACCACTGTCAGTCCAAGTCGTGTTTTAAAACTGGTCAGCAGCAGCTGTTTTCCACAGTTGTCTGTATTCCACGTATAGGTGTTTCATAAGGGTAACTAGGAAAAGGTGCATTTCAGTTCAGCAGTGGAAGAGCTGGTCAGCCTGACCACCATGGTTGTTGACATACTTCCTCAGGTACAAGCCTTCGTCTTTCTAGGTTTGCTGATCATCTCAGAACTCTTCCTATTGTCTCACTGGTGATCAAGGAACCAACAAAGGTGATCTGCTGGACCTGATACTTAAAAAGGAAAAACTGGTGGGTAGTGTGAAGATCAGTAGCATCCTTGGCTGCAGTAACCATGAGATGGTGGAGTTCAGGATATGTGTCTGCAGGGTCGGTACTGAGGTCAATACTGTTTAGTGCCTTCATCAACGACCTCAATGATGCGGCAAAGCACACCCTAGCAAGTTCGAAGGTGATACAAAATTTGGAGGAGTGGTTGATATAGTAAATAGTGATGCTGTCATTCAGAGAGATCTCAAGAAGCTGGAGAAATGGGCTGACAGGGAGCTGGTGAAGTTGAGCAAAGAGAAATGCAAAGCCCTGTTCTTGGGCTTTATTGGTGGTTGACACCAAGTTGAACATGAGTCAGCAGTATGCCTTTGCAGCATGGAAGGCCTACAGCATCCAGGGCTGTGTTAGGAAGAGCACTGGCAACAGGTCAAGGGAGATGATCCTTCCTTTCTACTTAGCACATCTGGTGTGCTATGTACGGGGCTTCCCAATACAAGAAACTTGAAATTCAAAACCTGACTGAACATAGTCCTGGACAACCTGCTTTACTTGACCTTGCTTGAGCTGGGGGGTTGGACTAGACAATCTGCAGAGGTGCCTTCCAATGTCAGCCATTCTGTGAGTCTGTGTGATTCTGTTTTCCAGCTGTAAAGTGGGCTGGCATTTGTTTTGGGCAGAAACAAGTGATTGAAGGCTATTTAAAACTAGTTTAAATAGTGTCTGAGCTTATGCTCCTGATAAAAGGTTTAGCACCTAGAGGCAAGTAATTTACATAGATTTATATGTAGACTTACACAGAGACAAGTTCTAGGTGTGCTGTCAGTACAAAGACTCTTTGGATACTTCAGCAAGGAGGAGAATGCCACCAAATTGGTGAGGGAAGAAGTCTCCAAGCACTTAGCGTGGGCACAACCAGTGAGCCCATGGTAAAAGCCACTCAGTACAGAGGTGACTTTCATGAGAAGAGTCTGAATGATTTTTACCACAGACTTCCATGTGTGAGTAGTTGTGGTAGCAATGAAAACTGTGGTTTCATGAGCATTTAAGTGATACAGGAGAGTAAGTCCATTTGATTTCCAACAGGACTTTGAGTCTTTGAATCCCTTTTGAAAACTGGGTGTGTTTTCTAAGCTTGAGTGTTTTTGAAAAGCCATGAAGAGTGATCAGTCCTCCAGACTTTACCATGAAACTATTTAGTGCATTTTGTACTATGCTGTTTGATGTTTTATTGACTTGTTCTGTACAAATCAGATTTTTCAGCAACAGATGAGAAAAAGTTAAGTAAGTCCCCATTTGGATTTCCTAAATACAGAAATTCTGGAATTTTAAATACCTATATGGCTAAATTTTAGCCCACATATGGTTTTGGACATTTGTATTTGATCAAATGTATTTGAATATTTATTTGAAAGGCATTTGTGTATTTTAACATGTCTTGCATGTTCAGGTGCTTATGCCCTCTTAGACGATTTTGGTGTGGTATGTGTGACCAGTTGAGCACTGTTTGTTACTGACTTTAGGTATCTTGAGATGCTGGCAAAGCACCCTGCTGTGGAGACTTGCAGACCTCTGAATTTATCTGGTTTTATGTGTAACAGTGAAGCAATAAGTATTTTAAAAGTAGAGATAGTTCTACTTGAATCGCTGTTACAACTCCTGTCCCAAGGAGAGCTCAGCCATGTACACAAAACTGAACTTCATTACCTCTAGGATAGGTGCAGTTTGGAGATGTGGGGAATGGAGGTGCACTGTTTGGAGATGCTGCAAAGCAGCCACTGATCTGCCACTGCCAACTATTTCCTCCTGTGTCTGATTGCAAGTGCTCTTGGTTTGTGCCTCACCAAAAAAAATGTGGAGAAGCCTGAGTCAGGCAGAATTGAGGGCTCAGGCATTTTATTGGCATGGGGAGACTCTTAGATTTGTCATTGTTGGCTGTGTCTCCATCCCTCACACAGCATTGCCGGTGTCACCTCCCATGTCAAGGTGCCCTCATGGAGTAGGACCACACTAGATCAAGGAGATGAGGGTCCCAGATCCATGGGGCTGAAGAGGAGTGTATGCCTGTAACATAGAGTTGAAGGTACCCCTACTTTGCACTCCTAACAGCTTCTGGACCAGACAGGGCTCCTCAGACCTTTCTTGTCCTGTCAGGAGCATGTCCCTTCTTTCTTCCTTCCTCCTTCTCCCTCCTGCCATTGGGATCCAACCCAACCTTTCCCTATGTGGCTCTGCCTCCTGCAGGATGGTGCTACCTGAGCTCACCTCCCACAGACATGGCAGTGCCAGGAGTCCAGCAAAGTAAAAGCATGTTGAGAAGCCTGTGCTAGATGAGATGGGGTTGTCCCATGTGCTACACGTGCTACGGTGGGTGTTAGCCCTGGTCTTCTCTGTCCTTCCTCCTGCCTTGCCGGGTGCCTTGCAGATCTCCCCTGGGATTTGGTGGTCTGGGTCAGCTCAGAGCATGGCACCAGAGGACCCAGAAGGGGGACAAAGCTCCCTTCCCACCATGTACCCTTGTTGACTAGCAGACTGGCAGTGCTCTCATCTCTCCTGGCAGCACTCGGATAAGGAGGCAATGGTATCAGAGCAGCCTATTTTTTTAGCCATTTTCTGTAAACTCTCTACAAAAGAGTCTACAGTCAGTATCCTTTCACTCCGGGCAGCTGGCTGTTTTACCTGATCTGAGGGTGCTCATGGTCATGGGTGGTCATGGTCTAGGAGCCTCCTGCCCGTTCTGTGACAGTGACTGAAAAAGCTGCACAGACTTTCAGGACCAAAGCCATCTCCAGGACTGACCCTGGCTCTGTGACCTGCTGTGCAATGGGATAGCAAAGCAGTTGCTTCTTGCTTTATGAGTAAGTGGGGCTGGGGATTGCATCAGGCTGCGGCTGCGTGCTAACCTGGCTGCGTGCTAACCTGGCTGCGTGCTAACCTGGCTGTGCCTTCCTTCCGCAGGGAACGATCTCTTCCTGGTTGCAGTCCATGAGCTGGGACATGCGCTGGGCCTCGAACACTCCAATGATCCCAGTGCTATCATGGCTCCTTTCTACCAGTACATGGAAACACACAACTTCAAACTCCCCCAGGATGACCTCCAAGGAATTCAGAAAATCTATGGTGAGCAACACTATCCACTCATCTATTTACACTGAGCTCAAGCCTAGTGAGTATCTTGTAGACACAGACAGGTAGCCCCCAGAATGCTTGCAGCTGGTGGGCTGGAGTTCCTGCCATAGCTAAATGGGGAACCATTTAAAGCCCTTGATCAGACGACTGTCCCAGTGGCAATGTCTTTGCATGAGTTAGGACAACCAAATCTCTGTGATCTTACTGCTGCTCCATCCCTCACTGTGTCCCCAATAGCAAGGAGCACTAGAAAGGGAAAAACAGGCAATTGTTGTACCCAAGGTTTGTCCATTAGGAACAGCCAGTGCAAATAGAGGGGAAGAACGTGAAGAACATGGAACATCAAGGAAAGGTAAAAAGTATTTATACACTCATTTTTTTTCTCTGTATATAGAAGGTAGGGAAAAAAAGTTTGAATCTGCTTAGGGAACACTTTATCTCTTTTAATCTCCAGCTGAACATCGTATGACAAGTGCCACAAAGATACAGGCTCAAGGAAAAGAAAGAAAAGGAGGCAGAGGGATTATGGGAGAAAACCAAGGTGCTGGAGATGATGTGGTACCATATGACACAATCTTAGATACCAGGATGTGAGGACAGGGACTTTCAGAGAATTACTGGCTGAAGGAGACTCTGGGAGCAGAGGGAAATGCAGGTTTTAGGAGCCACAGTCAAGGGAAGGCTGAACTAGAAGATGCTAATGGATACGGACTGTGGCAGCCCATGGAAAACAGGTTTTGTCAAACATCCCTGATATCATTCTTTGAGGGAAGTACAAGTTTGACAGAGAGTTCTTGATAAATGTAGCATAGAGCAACTATGCTATGTAGCTATGCAGCATTTGCAGCTGCTTGACATCTGGAGTCAAATATTAGCTCCCAGTACCAGTAGAGCAGACATTATATGAATTAGACCTGAAAAAAAACTTATAAGGTGGTTGTCAGTGGGAAAGCTGGTGTTTCTAAGGGATGGCTGCTGGCATCAGTGGCAGACCTGACAGTAGTCAACATTTGCATCAGTGATCTGCCAGTGCATTTTAAATTACTGCTAACAGAATTTGTGCCAAGACCTATAAGACTGTAAAGCAGTACAGCAAGACTTCAGAGATCTAAACTGTATTTCAGTTGTTTGAATCTGTTGGGTTTGTTCGGGTTGCTTTGGGTTTTTTTTTGTGACTGGAATGAGATTCATTTGTTCAAATGTGGATGTCTAAAGAAGAGAAATCTCTTGTTTCTCTGACTCCTGTCTGGGCAATGGGAAAAAGCAGGCATTTATCTAAGTAAGGTCCAACATTTAAAATAAGATGGCTTGAAGTACACCCAAAGGAAACTGGCTTTTCCTCTTCATGCAGCTGAAGATTTCTCTTGCTGTTCGTTACAAGGATGAAATTGCATAGCAGTTGTCCCATGGTATCGTTTAATTATGCATACTTTAACATAGTAAATATGCAAATAACAGAGACTCTGGATATAAAGTGCTGGGATAGTAAGTATTAAACTTTCATTAAATAACATACCTAAGTTTTCATTTTTGAAAGCTGCTAAAATGTCGTTATGCTGTTTCTATTTTGAAATGTTCCTGTGAACTTTGACTAATCAGAAAGAAAAAAAATCTTACTGCTAATAGTGGAAGTGCAATCAAAAAATTACTGGTTTCTCTCTTTTCAGATACCTTTTTGGAAAGGGAGCAGATAAGGAATTGACAGCCATGTTTCTCACATTTGTGGTTCAAGCCAGTATCAGCTGTGGCTGAGCTGGGGACCAGCACCGCCCCCAGCACAGCTTGGGCAGGGACCCAGTGCCCAGGGCTGAGCTGAAATGGGGCTCCTGGGACCATGGGTGGGGATGGAGGTATCAGGTGATGTTGGTCACAGCCCCTAAGACCTATTTGAGTCCTCAGGGCCCTGATAATTTGTGAGAGCACTGCACAGCATCTTGTGCGCAGCTATGACAGAGCAGAGAGCACAGTACTGTCCTGCCTACAGCTTGGCAGCACCACCACTACACTTCCACTTACTTTTCAGTTATGTAGTGACATGAAACTTTAGCCATGTACTATGTTAAGGTTCTCTGTATGCAATATAATATGCCTAAAATGTAAACTCAGTTTGAAAAAAGCAGTATGAATTAATTACTGCCTGGTGCAGGTAGTAATTAGGAATTAGTTTGTTGACTGTTGTGGAATCACACAAGGCTCTTCTCTGAGGCCTTTGAACTGGAGTGGGTTGGAGGTGGTGTTGGTGGCTGTAGAGATAACTAGTCCTGCGGGGAGAAGAGGTGGCTTCTGCAGTAGGAGCTGTGATTCCCCAGGTAGAGATTTCAGCCCTTAGTACAGAGTTAGGGTCCGAAAACTAAAGTTTAGTTTAAAACTAAGTTTTATGATTCACAAAGAAAAGATATAAAATGAAGGTTATGTTTCTTCCTAGAACTGGAGACATGAGAACAGATCCTTTCTGAGCTTCTTAGAACTGAGAAGGGACTGCTGAAATATCTTTCTTGTAGCTTTAGCAGGTACATTGAACTAATGTGTTTTATTTCCACAGTGCCAGTCTGCTTTGTCATGCCTTGGGAATGCCAAAAGCCCATCTACGAGAGCACCTGTCCAAAAATCAAAATCTCCCGCTTTCTTGCTGCTTTGATATTCTCTACAGTGCAGCAGCATATGCTCAATATGTATTATTTAGGAACCTACTATGCAAAATAAGTCATAGAGTCAGAGCCACTGCCTTGCCTGTAGCATCCTTTTTTAAAAATAAATTCAATTAAAACTTCCAATTTTTCATTCCACTGAAGTTGCTAGAACAAAGAACAGAGGCGCTACTAAGCTTAAGTCCATTTTGTGTCCTTCTTTTGAGAATGATGCATTTCAAATGTGTTTTCATGTTGCGTCTGTTGATCCATTAGAAAAGAAATGTCTAAATCTGTCGTATAATGATTTGTTGAATTATTATTTGTTGAATTATTATTTTCTGCTGACTTTATTTCAAAACTCACCTAAAGAGACAGTAGGTGATCTTATTTGTGCATCATGCTGGTTAGTACAAGGTCAATATTTAAAATGTAATTTCCACTTATGAGCTAATGGTGAAGAGACCAGCAGCTCACCGTGTGGGACAGAGTAGACTGTAAGACAACTCAGCAGTGTTTCCATCCTCTGATAGGTGCTTCTTGTAGCATGTTCTTTGACAAAATGAGGGAAATATCATTACTGTTCTTTACATGTCTTTTTCAGAAGGATATCTCCCACTGTACTTCTATGCCCACGTCACAAGTGACATGCTCAGGAAGGAATTAAACTGGAAATAATACCATTATGTAGGTCCCCTGCATGCCCTGTTAAGTTGACTGCCTCTTTTAAATTTGCTAGTCAGGGCTGCCTGCAGCCGCAGTGCAGATGGAGAGAGGAGACATACTCAGCCATGGCCTTGTCACACAGCCTGACCTGATCATCCTTCAGCACTGGTTCTCCTGTTCTTCATGTCCTGCTCTAAGTACCCTTTTGCAGTAGGCTGTGGAGCAGCCTCTCACATTCGGAGTGACTCTTCTGACACTGTGCCTGGGGAGCAGAGGGGTTGAGATGATGTACAGGAAAAACTGATATCCACACAGGTGCTTGGAGCTGGTAAACCAGGCCATTACCTTCAAGGCCCTTTGAAAGCCTAAGGTCACAAAGAAAAGGTCTCCTAATCACTCAAAGTTAGACCAAATCATTAAGACTGGAGACAACCTCAAGGATCTGGGTTGTCCCAATTTGAGGACGTGTCAATCTCACACATTTTTTCTGCAACTCAAGAGGGCTGAGGTCCAGGGTGGTCATGAAACCACACCAGCCCCTGGCCCAGGAACTAGACAACACCAGCTCTGACATCCAGGAACGGGGGATCAGCAGAGCACAGTGTCTGTGAGCAAATAGCACCTTCTGCCGACCCCATTATTCTTGTGCAGCAAGCAGGGGTTTCATAACCTTCCTCACCTTTTCCCAAAGGTGGCCCATAAAGCAATCCCAGATCTTTGTAACCTACATGTATGTGTGAGATGGCTGTGATGAAACAGCAGAAAGACCTGATACAAAATGCTTCACGTGGTGACACTCCATTGTGAGTGGGACCATCAGAGCAAGCTTTGCTGTCGCGTGGGACCTGGAAATGTTAGGCATAGGAGTGTTGTCTGATCATGTCCGCTCAAATGTGGGGGAGAAAATAGAGTAACATCGAAGACCTTTTCTATAGAAGCTGCAAGATCTGGGACTTTTGGATCCATGCTCCATGGTGCTGTGCTCATAGGAGGGCAGGGGAAGGCAAATGTGTGGCAATAAGAGAGCTGGAGGGGTCTGTCCTGGTACCACATCTCTGGCATGTTGCAGAGATACTGGACTCCCTGTCTGTGTTGCATCCCTTCATTTGCACCTTTCCTCCTGTCCAGAGAGGGGCAGGAGGGTCCTGCTGTTGGACCCAGCAGGAAATACCAGACTTCACCTCTGGTGCATCCACTGAGTCTCACCTGCAGTATGCCAGGTCTCCATTCCCATCCCTCTGAAAAACAGGCAGGGAGTAACTGCCTGGTTCCCAGTGCTGTCCTTGGGGTCTGCCTGACACCTGGAGGACTCTGACATGACACAGAGACTCACCCATGCTCACATCAGCCCTGGAGCTGCACACATCGGGTGTGAGAGGAGAGAGCTGATCAGCTGCCTCCTGATGAAGGGGGAGCCCACCTCTCTTGGGAGGTTTCTCAGCTGATGGAGAAACACTGCTTTATGTTATGGCTGGGCATGAAATACTTCTCTCATCCTACAGATCTTTCTGAGTTTAAAAAAATGTTCTGTTTTGCAGTGGAGCAGATGTCTGGCTTCTTAAAGTTTTTCCAGAGTGAAACTGGCCTGCAAGCACCACAGTTGGAGCATCTTGCAGAGTCCCAAACTCTCATCATTTGCCTGCCTAAGCCTGGGAATTTTGGACCCAGTTTTCTTGCACATCAAGCAGAGAACCCAAC